GTTGTCATTGTGCCACATATGATGACTCTCCAGCTGCCTTTCTGTGCATCTAACATCATCAATCATTATTGCTGTGACTACACTGTGTTGTTGGATTTATCCTGTTCAGACACATATTTCATAGAAGTGATTCAGCTTGTCCTTGCTGCGGTCACCCTCATCTTCACCTTGGTACTGGTGATTCTTTCCTACACATACATTATCAGGACCATTTTGCGATTCCCTTCTGTTCACCAGAGAAAAAAAGCCTTTTCTACCTGTTCCTCTCACATGATTGTGGTCTCGCTTTCATATGGAAGCTGCATTTTTATGTATATAAATCCTGTTAAAGATGCAGCAACTTTTAATAAGAGAGTGGCTGTTCTAAATACCTCCATTGCCCCTCTATTGAACCCATTCATCTATACTCTAAGGAACAAGCAAGTGAAAATAGTCTTCCAAGATATGGTAAGTAAGATAATTTTTTCAAAAAAGTGAAACTGTCTTAGGCTCATTATTACTAAGCATGTAGAAGACCACAGTTGTACACAATTGTAGCTCAAATATATTTTCTACATTATATAATTAATATTTCCATTTGTACAGTGAAACAATGGAATTATTTATGTTGTGAAGCCAAATTTTTAATGTTCTTAAATAAATCTAGATGTGTGTATGTGTGTGTTACCTCTTAGCATTTTATTGCCATTTTTCTTTATTTAGACCCCACTTTAATGCACAAGCCTTGAATAAGGTCAGAATTGAGAATATGACTTTTTGTAATTTGTTTTTTTAAAACATGGATGCATTGACATTGGGTCTTTGATTTCTGTAACTGTAACTTAATAAAATTCACAAGCTAAGGACATTTACTTTAACTTATAAATAATAGCATAATATTTTGGTGAATTCACACCAAGGTTATTTTCAAATTTCAAATTCAAATTTAAATTTAATCTTTTTGGAAAATCACGTAATGCATAGTCAATGTTTGATATAAGAAAGTTATGAAAAAACAGAAAAATTATGTGTTTGTTTTAATAATGATGGGAAAATTGTACATGGCGATTCATACACAGATTAAGCTCACTGAGCTAATCTGTGAAAGAGATGAAGGAATGTTTCAAGCTTGAGGTCTTAGAAGCATGTCTCCTTAGAAAATCTCATATAATTTGTTGTTATGCCTGCTCATTCATTTATTGGTATTGTGCAATAAACCCCTATTAATATTATTTGTGGTATTAATGATTTTACAGGTCTATATTATATTCATTCTAATTCTTTCTATCATCAAATAAAGACATGAGTATTCATTATAGTTCTGATCTGGAACGTCCCCTAAAGGCTCATGTGTTAAAAAGGTTGAGTTCCCTTAACAACAATGTTCAGAGGTGAGGCTTTTGGGAAGTGATTAGATCATGAGGGCTCTGACCTCATCAATGGATGAATCCATTGAGTGATTCATAGCTGAATGAATTATTGGGAACTAGTGGAAAATGTAGGAGGTAGGACCTAGTTGAAGGCATTGGTCCTTGGGGGTGTGCCTTTGGACCTATATCTTGTTGACCCCTTGCTTTCTCCCCTTCTCTCTTTCTCTATCCCTCCCTGTCCCTCTCCTTTTCTCCCTCCCTCTCTCTGCCTTCCTGCTGTCATGAGCTGAGCAGCTTGGCTTTACCATGTCATCTCTACCATGATGTTCTGTCTCACTTCAGTCCTATAGCGATGGAAGCTGTGAGCTGAAACCTCTGAAACCATATGTCAAAATAAATCTTTCCTCCTTTTAGTTGTTTTTCTCAAGTATTTTGTCACAGTGATGTAAAGTTAACACAGTGTTTGTAATCTGATTTCCTTAAGCAGGGACCTCATAGCAAGTACAAGCTGTCATTTTTTATGAATGTTTTTTGGTCTAGATTGATATTTTTGAATTCATGGACCAATTCATTGTGGTATGATTGCTTTAAAATTAGTCTATAGATATTTTTACTCCAATATCTCAAACATTCACATAAAAATCAGTTCTAAAGATGTTGAAATACTTTTATTAAAGTTTAAGGCTAGTGACAAATTTGTACTCTTGAATTGATTTTTCCAAAGAGTAATAATGGAGAATTAATACATCAAAGAGATACTAAAAAAATGTTCTTGGATACCATGAAAGAGAAAGTTGATTTAAAATGTAGAATCTGATAGTTCCTGAAAGCCTGGCCATAATTACATTTAAAAAATCATCCAAAATATCTAGCATAAACTGATATAAGTGAGGCAGTTAATTTGTTACTCTGTGATTAAGACAGACAGCTATTTGAGGCATGAGTGCACTCATTTGTTGTTTTAAATACTATCCTCAATACATGAATCATAATTATCCCAAATATTTTTTCATCCCAAGATGGTTGCTCAATTTCAAAAGATAGATTAAAAAATTATATATGTAGCTAGCCATTTTAATAACAGAGAGGACTTCCATTAAAACACAAATGCATGCAAATACACATTTTAAAAGCCAATCCATAGTAGCCTACTCAGTGCACACTATACCTGTATTTTGAAATATCACACTGAACCCCACTAATATGAACAACTAATACATGTTAATAAAAATAAAATAAACATAAAATAGCCTTTTATCTGGAGGAAAACTAGTATAGCATCTAATAAAAATTGCAGAAAATATGAATTAGCATAGCATTCTGTTCACCTGAAATCCTTATCAGCCAGAAATTCTTTGAATCTGCAAATAGATATTAATGATATTCAAAGTCATATGCATGTAGCATTTCAGCTTCCAAATGATTTAGGAAGTAATAATAAAGTGTTGATTACACATTTAATATTAAATATTTTGTTTTTGAGACATTGAAACTCAGAAATATGTATGAGATGTGTAATCTTGTTATTCACAAGCTCAAATACATAGTATATTCCATTGTGAGAATGCTTTGACTATTTATTTATTTACTTATAGGACTTCTCTAAAATGTTTTTAACTTTGACAATATCCCTTAAAACTCTGCTTTGTGAAGTGGTTTCTGTTAGAGTGCTAAAGTGGTATTACAGCAAGAAAGACCAAGGGTAAGTCAGTGCAATTACCTTTATCAACAATAATAGTGAATCATATATGTACCACTCTGAGGGAAATCACAGAGATTAGTATCACCATTAAGGACTTAAAAGATACAGGTCTGATTCCTACCATTTTTCTGTTCAATTTTCCTATTTGGCCTATGCAGAAGAATGATAAATACTGGAGGGTGACATTAAATTATCATAAATTCTATCATGTGTTGGCTTCAATGGCAGCTGCTACTCAAGATGTGGTTTTGTTGCTGGGAAAAATCAATATATCCCATGGAAACTTCTTAAGAATGTTTTTCTTTATATCTTTTATTACACATCATCAGAAACAACTGACTTTCATCTGGAAAAGGCAGCACAGCAACATTGTTCCACTATGCCATATCAACTCCAGTCCTATATTAAGATCTAATCTTTAGGGAATTCTAATCTTTAGGAAATTGATTGCTTTTCACCTCTTCACAACATGACACCATTCCATTTTATTGATGATAATTTTCTGAATGGACCTAGCAAATAGGAAGTAGCAAGGAATCTAGGCACCATTGAAATACATTTATTACTAAACTGTAGATAATAGCTTTTATAATTAAAAGATCTGTTACTTCAGTGAAATTTCTAGATATCCATTGGTTAGGAAAAAGTTGAGATGGTCCTTCCAGAGTGCTAAATGAATACATATGGTCTCTCCTGTTACTTAAAAAGTGTTACGCCACCTACTGGGCATCTTTGGATTTTGGAGTAATAATCATCTTTGATAGATAAAGATGGTACTTTTGGGTGGGATCCAGAACAAGAGAAGGCTTTGCAAAAGGTCTTGGCTTCTATGTAAGATTGTTTGGCCCCTGGTATATCCAATGCTGCTTGGAGTAGCAGACTTATGAATGTAGACAGACACATTTTGCATGTAGACTTTTGCAGGTTCATATCGGTGAGTAAAACTATGGACACCTAGACTTTTAAGAAAAACCAGGACATCTCTGTAGATGTCTATTGTGTTTTCAATTGGTTGTTTTCATTTATGTTGGGACTTAGTAAAGAATGAATGCTTGACCAACTTCCCATGTGATGTTAGCTGTTAAACTTGAGGTAGATGTTGTCTGTCCATCTAGTCAAACAGCTGGTTAAGCATAAGCAAAATTCCATCATGAAAGAGAAATGAGATTCTTCCTGAAGTCATCCATTAAAAGATGAATGTTGTATATCGGGATAGAGTATCAGCAAGGTCAGAGGGTGCATTAAGCTGGGAGAGGAGGTAGCCGAGACCCACATGTTAAATACTATTGCAATATCCCTTTCTTTTTCAATTCATAGCTATATGATTTAATATTTTCTTATCTATATCAAATAAAATATAACACAAATATATCATATGACTTTTTATTTCATGAACATAGTATGATATTTTAAAAAACGTTCAAAATAAAAAATTACTATTATTTTTTTAAATCTCAATTTCCCACGTTCAAATATATTCAAAAAGAAAACTAAAAATGTGTAGCAAGATATAATAAAATCTGGGGAAAACTGAAATCCCAAAGACATTACATCATATAATTATTTTGAAATCATTAAGATTTTACATAAAATTAAATATGATAATGAGAATTAAACCTACTGCATTCATGTGGAAATAACACTTTCAATGAACTGATACATTAAATTGATAAAACATTTTAAATATGTACATTTCAATGAAAGAGAGAAAGGGGTCATATGTGAGAATACTTATAATAGTCAGAAGAAAGAATGCTTATTATTTTGAAAGGAAAACCACTGGGGGAAAATAGCTTATGTAAATTTCATGACACTTCAGGAAGAAGTGAAAGGCTAAATATGGTAATATATCGAATAATGCAACAGAAAAGAAAATTAGCATCCAATCCAGCTACTTCCTTTGCAAATTTCACTGATAATGTATTTCCTTTATAAACCTCACTGTGATTCTACTTGTTAGATAAAGACAGAAGTCTTTGTAGCAAGTCTTTACATGCTTGCTTCACCTGCTGATTTCTTAGAGTATAAATGAAAGGGTTCAAAAGTGGGGCAACAGAGGTATTGAGCACTGATACTCCTTTCATTAAGGTTATATGCTGCTTGGCTGAGGGTTTAATGTACATGAAGATGCAGCTGCCATATGAGATGGAGATGACAATCATATGAGAAGAGCACGTGGAAAAGGCCTTTTTTCTCTGGTTGGCAGAAGGGAGTTTCAAAATGGTTAGGGTAATAGATGTGTATGACAGAGCCACTAAAAAGAAAGTAACTAAGAGAGTCACTAAAGCTAGGATGAAGCTCATCATTTCTAATAAATGTGTATCTGTGCAGGAGATTTGCAGTAGAGGAGCAGTGTCACAATAGAAATGATCAATGATATTGGCATCACAGAAATCCAGGTTTAGACCTATTATGAGTCCTGGGAAAATGATGAGGAAACCAGCGATCCAAGAGCTGAGGACCAGTTGGATACAAGTTTTGGTGCTCATGATGGTTGTATAATGCAGAGGCTTACAGATGGCAACATAACGATCATAGGACATGGCAGCCAGCAGATAAAATTCAGATGCACCCAAAAGGAAGGCGAAAAATAACTGAGCTGCACAACAGTTATAGGAAATGGTTTTGTCACCAGTTGCCATGCTAACAAGCAATTTTGGGATACAGACTGTTGTATAAGAAATTTCTAAGAAGGAAAAATTTCGAAGAAAGAAATACATAGGGGTTTTGAGATGAGAATCCAGCAGAGTGAGGGTAATGATAATCAGGTTGCCTGAGATGCTTAGTAGGTAGGTGAGAAGCAGGAAGATAAACAGGACAATCTTCAATTTGGGGTCCTCTGTCAGTCCTGCTAGGATAAATATTGTCACTGTTGTATGGTTTCGCATTGCTGCTTCTTGATCTTCTGTTCTGGCAAATTGTTGAAGAAAAAATTTTTTAAGGTTTTGCTTGTTGTTTTTTGAGGTTACCATTTTCCAATTCTTGAACTTGTTTTTGTTTTCTTCCTTTATTGGGTCATTTTTTTTGAATTGCTTTTGTTAGGAAAATTTCCGGCAAATTTTTTTTCTTTTGTCCGGCTTGGGAAATTTTTTTTTCCAATTAAGCGTTTTCTTTTTTAGATCTTTTTATTTTGTGTTTTTTTTTTTTTGTGTGATTTTTTATGTGTTTGTAGATATATTTTTTTTTTTTTTCAGTATGTGGGACTAGAATGTTGTGTTGTTTATCCTTAGTCTGAATGATGATATTTAATTGTAATTACCTCAAGGAATTGACTGTGAGTGCAGGACAGAAACAATAACATGAAAGAGAAAATCCAAATGAATAACATTACAAATTAAAAAGGGACTATTTCAACAGACAGTATTGAAGTCCAGGGAATCATTAGGGAAGATTTTGAAATCTTCTGCTCCAACAAACTGAAAAAAACTGGAAGAAATGGATAACTTTCTAAACAGAAGAAATTTATCTGTCAAAACTGAACCAGAAAGACAGAAATATTAAACAGAAAAACAAGCAATGAGATTGAAGCAGACAACAAAACAAAACGAAAAACTCCAAACAGAAAAACCAAGTGCCAGATGAACTCACGGCTGTATTTTATCAAACCTTTAAGGAAGAATGAACACAAATGCTCCCCAAATTATCCCATGAGATACAAAGGGAGGAAATGCCTCCAAACACATTGTGTGAAACCAGTTTCACCTTGATAACAGAAGTGAGTAATCAGGAAAAATATTACAGACCAATGCCATTGTTGAAAATAGACAAAAATCTTGAAATAGATACTTGGAAATAGAATTCAACAACACACTAAAAAGATCGTATATCATGATCAAGTTGGTTTCATGCAATAATGAGTCAACAGTTGTAAATTAATAAATATAATGCACCACATAAATAGAATCAAGGTAAAAATGCACAGGATCATCTCAGTATATTCAGAAAGAAATTTTCAACAACATTCAATACCCATTAGTAATAAAAACCTTAAATAAATATAGAGATAGAAACATAAAATCTATGTGTGAAAGCACAAAATCAAACAGCATACTTAATGGGGAAAAATTGAAAGCATTTCTTATAACATCATGAACAAGACAAGATATTCATTCTTATCCCTCTTATTCGATATAGTTTTAACTAGTTTTAACTAGGTCAGTTAGCCAAGAGAAAGAAATAAAATGGATACAAATAGCAAAGGAAGAATTAAATTGTTTTTATTTGCATATGATATGACCTTTTACTTGGAATACAATAAAGGTTCTACCAAAAGACTTTTAGATCAGATAAACAAATTCAGTAAAGTAGTGGGATACAAAAATCAATACATTTCTTATACAGCAATAATGAATCTGCTGAGAAAAAGGGGAAGCAATCATATCCACAATACCATAAAAATGCCTAAGAATAAAACTAACCAAGGAGATTAAAAAATGTACAATAAAAATTATAGAAAACTGAAGATAGAAATTGAAGAAGACACTAGAATATTGGAAGAACTCCTCTGTTCATGGGTGATAAATGGCCATATTACCAAAAACAATCTAGAGATTCAGTGCAATCCCCATCAAAATATCAATGACATTTTTCACAGAACTAGAGAAAACAATCACAAAAGCAATATGGAAGACCACATAACTCAAAGTTGTCAAAGAAATTCTTAACAAAGAGCAATTCTAATGACATCACAATACCCTATTTCATATTATACTGCAGAGACAAGGTAAGAAAAACAGCATGGTACAAGATAAAAACAAACATTCAGATAATGTAACAGAACAGATGATACACACACAAATCCATATAGTTACCAATATCTAATTCTTGATAAAGATGCCAAAACAAATGTTAGAGAAAAGACAGCCTGTTTAACAAAGGATTGTGGAAAACTGAATAACCATACATAAAATAATGACACTATACCTTATTTCTCACCCTATACAGAGTCAATTTAAAATGAATCAATGATGTAGGTAAAAATCAGAAACTTTGCAACTTCTGGAAGAAAGCATAGTGTCAACACTCCAACATTTAGGCAGAATTATGGCTTCTTGAATAGGATTTCTATATCTCAGGAAATAATACTAAGTATCCATAAATGGGAAAGTATCAAGCTAAAAAGTTCTGCACAGCAATGGAAACAACAGAGTGAAGAGATAGCTTAGAAAATGGAATAAAAATTGTTACCAGCTACTGTTGTGACAGAGAATTAATATTCAGAATATAAAGAAGCCAAAAAACTCAACCTGTAAAAGTAAATAACCCAAGCAATACATGGGCAGAAGAAATGAAGAGACAAAAAAAAAATGAAGAAAATACTGACTGACAAGTAGAAAAAAAAATTAGAAAAGTCTGAGGGAAAGAATGCTGGTTATTGTGTCCATTTTCTTTCTTTCTCTTGCCTAACTGATCTGGCTAAAATTTCAAAATAAGTACAAATGACCAACAACTATATAAAAATAATGTTCAACATCTTTGGCCATCAGGAAAATGCAAGTTTAAAAAATGAATTGAGAGTCCATCTTACACCAGTCAGAATGGCTATAATTAAAAATACAAATAATAAATGCTGGTGAGGATGCAACAACAAAGGAAGAAGAAATTGTGTTGGTGGGAATGTAAATTATTATGTTTACTATAGAAATCAGTATAGAAATTCCTCCAAAGCTAAAAATTTTTAAAGCATCCAGTAATGCAACTTGTCAGTATTTATTCAATATAATAAAAGTCAACATTAGGGATGCATTCACACCCATGTTTATTGCAGTACAATTCACAGTAAATAAATTATGAAATCATTCTAGTTGTCCACAACAGGTGAATGAATAAAGAAAATGTGGCATATTTATATACAACAAAATTTTACTCATCATCCATAAAGAAGAATGAAATCATGCCATTTGCAGAAAAATGATGAATCTGGACAGCATCATATTAAGTGAAATAAGCCATACTCAGAAAGACAAGTTGACATATATTTTCTCTCATATGTGGAAGTCAGAGAGGGAAAAAAAGGGGATGTCACTCACGAAAGTAAACGGGAGACCAATGGAATAGAGAGGGTAAAGATAGATAATGGGGAGTAATAGTGATCAAATTGTATTCTATGCACATATTAATATATCATAAAGAAACTACAACTGTGTGTAATTACTATGCCCCAATAGTCCATTTTCAATATTATAATAATTATAAATAATAATATTTTAAATCCTTAAACAAAATTCTAAATGTGGATGTTAATTGTATTTCCTGTACAGAAAAAAAAACAAGAAAATCTTTAAAATTCAAAAATGATAATCATAGATAATTTTCTCAGTAAACTCCTTTAAGTTATTTAAAAAAGATGATGTATAAATGTTCATATTAATTGAAAACAGCATGTAACTTTAACTTAGGATAAGTACTATAAGAAATTCAATGTAATTGTGACCTCGGTCTTCACTTATTTTTTCTTTTGCCATGTCTACTCAACTAATCAGCATTCTTTCCCTCAGACTTCTCTAATTTTTTTATTGGTTGTTCAAAACATTACAAAGCTCTTGACATATCATATTTCAAACATTAGTTTCCAGTGAGTTATGAACTCCCATTTTTACCCCAAATACAGATTGCAGAATCACATCGGTTACACATACACATTTTTACATAATGGCATACTAGTAACTGTTGTATTCTGCTACCTTTCCTATCCTCTACTATCCCCTCTCCCCCTTCTCTTTCTATCCCATCTACTGTAATTCGTTTTTCTCCCTGTTTTTTTTTTCCACCTGTAAGTCATGTTTTCTTCAAGTTTTTGTCTCTTCATTTCTTCTGCCATCTCCTCCTCACTTTTACCATCTTCTATTCCAATGCTAAATTTTTGCTATTCCATAGTAAATGTCACATAAACAGAATTAATGGACTTAGTAATTTTTGTGAGATACAATCAGAAAATGAAATGAGAATAATAAAGTGCAAGAAAAATTGATTATGGAATCAGAGAGAGGGAGAAACATGAAATAGGAAAGAAGAGAAGACAACAGAAGCAAAAGAATAATTAAGGAAAGGAAAGACATAAAGGGAATAGGATAAAGGAGAAACTTACCATTAAGTTTGGACAGTGACTTCCAACTAGTTCTTTGGTTCTTAATTGATGCACAGATTGAGTTACAGCAGAACTAAAATGTGCTTTTACCTAGGAGAAAGCAGAAGAGAGTTTTACTCACTAGGCAAGAGTTTAGACAGTTGCAGGTGATGATATTAATGACCCTAAAATAATAGCAGCCATTAAAAGCCAATCCAACTCCAATGGAGTTGATTATATACTTGAGGATTTATAAATCTCATTAAGCTAAATCCCATTAAGCTAAACCTCTTAGGTATAAACAGTTTCATCTCTTGAGGAAAGAGCTCTTTTGATGACTTCATCATCAGTTAATCTTTTTTAATATCTTCATTTTCAAAAACTAGTATATGTTAAACAATTTTTGTAGACCCATGGAGGATGTATGGTATGCATTGAGGAATCAAAGAAGCTTAAGAAAGCATCCCTAGTGGATCTGGAGACTATCATCCTAAGTGACATAAGCCAGTCCCAAAAAACCAAAGGTAGAATATTTTCTCTAATAAGTGGAAGCTAACCCCAAATGGGGAGTGGGTGCTAAGTGAGGGGAAAAATAGAATTGCAATAGATTAGACAATGGGGAATTGAGAGAAGGAAGGGTTAATAAGGAAAGACATTGGGATGAATCTGACATAGTTTTTCCATGTCTATATATGAAAACAACAGAGTAAATCCCACCACCATGTTCATCCATAAGAATGGGACTCTTAACTAGAATAAGATGCTTGTATAATTATATCAAATGGATTATGCTGTCATATAATTAAAAAGAACCAATAAAAACTATAAAAGAGAAAGCATTGCTAA